CAGCAGGGGGCGCGCGCGAACCAGGCCTGGGCCCGATATCTTGACTTACTGGGATCTACTGGGTTTCGACCCACTGCACCCCTGGGATTGTCTGGGTCCGCAACGTCCAAGTTAGAGGTCGTTTTGCAAAAAGCTTCCCGGAGCTCCAGCTCTCGGCTCCTGGGTCTGTCTAGGGTTCGGACTCCAGCCTGGTCCAAAAGCCTCAGCTCGGATTCTACAGATTTCCAAATCTGGGGCCCCAGCGCTGGCGGCTTGGAACCTTGTATCTTTCCTCTCCCCACACCTACTTCCATCCACCTGATTAGCGACCTGTTTCTTTAACGATCAAAGACATGGGCGGCGGCGGGGGTGGTATCTTCGCTCCCGGTTCCCAGCCCCTCAGTAACTGTACCATTATTAACATTATAGTCATTAGACCGCTCCGGCGCGCCTAGAGGCGCCGGGCAGCATATGCTTAATCTTGTAGCTGAGCTCGGAGACCGAACCCAGAGTCGTGGCTTCTACTTCAGGCCTCCGCGGACCTTGCCCGAGGCGACTCGAGCTTCAGGCTGCAGGGGCAGGCACTAGGCTCTTCAGGGTCGAAGGCCGGGGTAAGAGTTGTCTTTCCCCAGGGCGCGCTCCGGGAACAAAAGCTCTCGCTGGGGAGTGGGCGGGAATCGCAGGGGCCCGCGGGAGCCGGCGCCCTTGCCGGGTGGCCACCGTGCCCTTAGCTGCCGTCCTGGTGCCTGGAGCCCTGTTTCTCTGCCGAATTCCCCTGGCTTCTGCAGTCTCGGCAAGAAAGCAAAGGAAAGGGGTCTTTCTTGGCACGCTGGACCTGGAGATTCTCGGGATGCTGGCGGGGCGGGTCCCTGCGGTCCAGGGAAGCGCTTTGCAGAGAGAGCGAGCGAGCATATTCTTCCTTCCACTCCCCACTCTCTGTCATACAGTCCCTCAATCCTTTCAAGTTGTCCCTCATTCGCCCCCTCTCTGTCCGCCTCCTCGTAAAAAGAACTAAAAGAGAGGTGAAAACTGGGTGTAGGACCCACAAGCCGTGTGCCTCCACGAGGGAGCCTCGATCCTTGCCTCCGCGCCCCGCGCCCGGCTCCCTCCCGCGAAAGGCTCCGGGACCCGCCATCTGGACCCAATTCTCCATCGTCGCTGGGGGTCCCCTGTCTACCCCAGGCCCCCCTTCCCGGGCCAAGACTTTCTGGACCGCCCCCTCAGGTTTCCCAAGACGGAGACAACACTCATGACGTTCCCAAGATCCGCAGACAAAGAGACTTTGCCAGGTGGGCCGCGCCACTCCCTGGCCCAGCCAGGCCCAAACCGCAGAAACTCACTCCCGAACTAGAGACCCGCTCCACCTGTCCCACCGCAGGGTCAAGGTGCTCTCACTCCTCTGCCACCCTCCCCCTGGGTCAGCTGTGGAACTACAGGACCAAGTAGGTGGAATAAGTTCTGGGTTCTGATGAGCTGGTCTCAGCCGGCTCCACTGCCTACAGTAGCTGCAGCATGTGGAGGAGAGAGGGAGGGACGAGGAGCGTGCGTGCTCCAGACTGTTCATATTTAATTTACAAAAGATTCTTGGAACTCCAGTCTGGTGGTCTCTTTAGATGCAGCACTCTTCGCCCGTCTGTCCCCCACCCCACTCCCCACCTCCCTAGCTCATTAAAATGCTCAACACTCAAATCGGGATTGAGCTTTTTAGATGCCTCAAATCCACGCCACCGACCCATCGCCAAAGACCTCCCCCCGCCCCGCCCCACCCCGCCACGGACCTAGATGTGGACTGGGGGCCTACGGCGCTCCGGACAGCTCAATGTCTACGGAAAGAACCAGGGAAGGTTGTGGCTTTGCGTGTGTCCGCGAACCTGTATCCCTTTCCCCATTCTGGCCAGCAACTCTCCAGAGCTGCAGTGGGCAGTGCAGGGGGACAGAAATCGAGTTTTAGCCAAATGCCTGAACATCCCAGCGCCTCCATCTCCTTGCGGCTACAAGAAATGTCGGGGTTTCGCCAGAGACAGGGAGTGAGAGTCAGGAACAGCGAGTATTAGAGTCTGCTGAGGCCGGCTGTTGTGTGAGCGTGTGAGACAGTGGGGCGGTGGCGAGCGGGCACAGACTGTGGGAAACCGTGTGTGAGGTTGGCGGTGTGTTTGCTTGTGAGGCTGTGAAGATATTGGTGGGGCGAATGGGAGGGGAAAATTAGGCCCTAAGTTTCCCAGCCTACAGTGCTCAGCAGGAGCAGACGTTTTGTAACCATCCCTTTTCGTGCCGCTGCCTGCTGCAGCCCTGAAGCCCCATTCGCCTCTAGCTGGCAAGACCTGAGGGTAAGGCGTTGGGTGCGCTCAGACTGGCTTCCTGGGTGCTGGAGGCTAACATCAACGCGCTGCGCCCCGCCTCACCCCGCGGTGCGCACAAGCTGGCGCGCTGGACACTAGTTTAGCCACAAAAGACGAGACGTAAAGATTCGGGTTTAAGAGGCTGGACAGGGTCCCCGGGGGCGGGGGAAGAGGCTTCGCCTCCCTGTGCGTCCCGCATGGCCGTGCTTTCTGGTCTTGGGGTTGACAGGCATGGGGCGGAGGAGACCTGGGCTTGTATCTGCCCAGATCCAGTCAAAAATGGCAGGGAGGGTGAGGCGCTCTGCTAACACTATCAATTATGCATCGTGTTGAACGTGGCTTCGGGGAGGAGGCGGCTGGCGGGG